AGGTTTAGGGTTAGGTTAAGGGTTAGGTTAAGGGTTAGGTTAAGGGTTAGGTTTAGGGTTAGGTTAAGGGTTAGGTTAAGGGTTAGGTTTAGAGTTAGGTTTAGGATTAGGTGTTAATTTTATGTTTAGCGTTTACAGCGTGCTTTTTTCTCCGCGCTGTTGTCGCGCTGTGATGACGTCAGCTAAGCGGTTTCATCGAGCGCCCTTTAGTCGAACGCTGTTTTGTGGTGGAACCCAGGTGGGCAAGAGTTCCACAATATTAGTCTAACCCTTTATGGAGGTGGGCACCAAATTCTGCCTTTCCTCTTTCAAACAGAAAAGCTTTTTAAAAACGCTTCCCTAAATGCCACCGAATAAATTGTGGCAATTGGTGAGGCCGAAGAAACAAATCTTTGCCAATTAGAGGGACACCGTGCAAAAATGCGTTATGGTGGAGAGCCAAATTGGTAACAGGTAATATAATCCTGGGCAAACACTTCTAAGGATAAGCTTTTTTTTAGGGGAAGGGGGCATCGTTTGTCTTTGGCACGCACTTCGTTTTTGGCCTCGGTTCTAAAGGCCCCCAGAATGACTGTCTTAGCTTCCCCTGTGCCTGTCCATCGAGATTGATGGCCTTGCCCAGGACACCTGGCCTTTTCACAGTGGGCCTTCACAACTGTGATGTTCTATAATTCTCGACCCAGGTTTGGTTCCACCTTCACAAGTGGGGAAAGGCTTTTCAGAGAAGTCCTGAAGGTACTCTTGGAAGTATCTAGAGATAGTTCTACCTGTATAGGTTTTTAGGTTTGTGGGCTGTTGGTTGGAGCGTCAATTTTAGGAGATCGAGGGGTGAAACGAAATAGCCGGATCCACAGATCCTGAATGTCAAATACACACGGCATTCTATGTACAATTGTACATCCAGGGGTGCCAGCCACAATGACCACAAATCAAGCAAGTTTGAGCCCAAAGAGAAAACGGCTCCGTTTTTGTAATCTGGGCTAACGCTTGGGGAAGTCCAGTATTCCTTTTTTGTGGGGGCCAGGAATGATGCATAAAATCTTTTGAAAGCTTTCACACAACAGAGGTACGCACATCTATTCAGGGGTTCTCACACCTGAAAGATGAACGGGGATATACCCAAAGGGTACTGAATGGTTTTTTGTTTTTTTTAAGATCTGTCTCCTCCCTCCAAGTTCAAAAGACTTGAAAGAATGACTGTTTCAGCATCTTTCTCCAACCTGATGCTCTCCCAAATACCCCAGCAAGTGTATATACATCGGGATAACAATCGAGTTTTGACTGATGAGGGCTGCTCATTGGTAGAACAAATAGTTCACATTTTGACATCCACAGTTAAGTGCCATAAAACAGGGGTCTCCAACCTTGGCAAATTTGCTGGCTGAGGAACTCTGGGAATTGAAGTCCACAAGTCTTAAAGTTGCCAAGGTTGGAGACCCCTGCTATAAAATATTGCCTCAAACACTGAGAGCCATTGCTATTCAGTGTCGATAAAGTTAAACTCTATGGTTTGGGAATAAGCTAGCAGGTTTTAAGATGGGTGGACTTCCATGTCCAGAATTCTGGGAGTCGAAGTCCACTTGTCTTAAAGTTGCCAATTTTGAGGGGGGGCGGGGGAAACCAAACAAAATCCCCTTGTCCGATGTCTTTGGAGACATGTTATATGTAAAAATAACGGATTCCATTACTTTTGTTCCCTCAGATCTTTGGCCATTCCAAACCACTTTTCTAAACGTTTTTTTCTGAAGTACTAAATAGAGAATTTCAGGAGGAGGCCCAGAGAAAGGACTATATGCCACTCAGAGTCACCTTGGGGTTGAGAGGGGCTGCAAAAAAAAATAATAAATAAATAAATAAAAACAACAGGCTTGGAGATCCCAAGGAGGGGAGTCCCAAAGTGTTGGCAGATCTATTTTTCCACTCTTATTTATACGTGTTTTAACTCTATTAAAAAATTTTTTTTAAAAAAGATGTTTTAAAATTGTATTTTATATTATTCATTGGGTTCTTTCCCTGAAAATAAGACCTCCCCGGATAATAAGCCCAACCGGGCTATTGAGCGCATGCGCTAAAATAATCCCTCCCCCAAAAATTAGCCCTCCCTGAAAATATTGCAACACAGCAACAGCCATGAGGGGACCACGCTCGCTGACTCCTGCACCTCAAAAATAAAAAAGACCACCCCAAAAATAATAAGGTAAAATGCTTATTTCGGGGGTCAAAAGAAAATAAGACCCTGTCTTATTTTCGGGGAAAGATGGTAGAACGCCACCTAGAGTCTCATACATGAGATGGGTAGCGATATAAATGTAATAAATAAAATATATGTAATATAGCATTCATTCCAATAATAACCCTGATCGCTTCCTGGCATTACGTGGCACTCTTTGGCTCTTATAATATTTATTTTCGCATGCCTGGGTGGCCCAGCAAATCGTGACAGAGGCTGCAACCCCAAGAAACCACTCTCAACTGCATAACAGGTGGAACGTAGGCTGTCCTTCTGCAAAAACTGTCTTTTTATTTCATTTTTTCTATAGCACCAACCAAGCATATATCACAAAAGAACAGGTCTGAGAAGTCCATACCCCGAGGGGCTTACAATCTAAAAAAACAGACAGAAGGAAAGCGTTTCTTTGGCAGAGCAAAATGGAGCGAGGAGGGGGGAGGGGGACGAAAACAGAAAATGTGATTTAGTCAATGGGTTATGTGCTGTTTATTTTCACTGAAGAAGAGTCCGTAAGTCTACTTGTGGCCTTTTTCGGGGATAAACTATGTCCATAGCTTGATAAAGATGAAGATCTGTGGCACAAAAGCAGGGCATTTACAGAATTACCTGAGAAATAGCAGTAGCTATTTAAGACTTATAGACCGCTTCACAGGGCTTTTGCAGCCCTCTCTAAGCGGTTTACAGAGTCAGCATATTGCCCCCATCAGTTCTGGGTCCTCATTTTACCCACCTTGGAAGGATGGAAGGCTGAGTCAACCTTGAGCCGTTCAGGATCGAACTCCAGGCTGTGGGAAGAGTTTGTCTGCAATACTGCATTCTAAGCACTGTGCCATCACGGTCTGTCCGTCCGTCCTTCCTCCTTCCTTCTTCCCTTCCTTCCTTCTCACTTAGCAATAGCTCTTAACTTGTATACTGCTTCATGGTGCTTTTGCAGCCCTCTCTGAGCAGTTTACAGAGTCAGCCTCTTGCCCCCAACAATCTGGGTCCTCATTTGACCCACCTCGGAAAGATGGAAAGTTGAGTCAACCTTCAACCTGGTGAGATTTGAACTGCTAAATTTTAGGCAGCCGGCAGTCAGCAGAAGTAGCCTGCAGTACTGCACTCTGACCATTGCGCCCCCACAGCTCGGAAATCAAGGTCAGGGGCTCTGGCAGGAATTGCATTTAATGCATCTTGAGTTGCTTGATGTAGGGGAAGGGGAGGGAAATAGGGAAGTCACGGGAATCCCATACAGCAGGGATCCCCAATCCCCCCTGGGCCAAGGATCGCTACCGGTCCGTGACTTATTCGGAACCGGGCCTCAGAGCTGGAGGTGAGCAGTGAGTGGGCCAGCGAAGCTTCATCTGTATTTGCAGACCCTCCATAATGCTAGTATCACCAGCTCAGCTCCACTTCAGATCATCAGGTATCAAATTACAATTCCGCTGCCCTGACTTACGCCCCCCACTGATATCCTGTTGTCAGAAGATGGGGCTGTGCATTGTCCATCTTCGAGAAGGAAGTCCTCAGCCAAAACAGCTGGTATGGTGACAGGGAAACTCTACAAGCTGTATTCAGTTTGGGGTTCAAAACTCCCCATAATCAGCCTCTTTCCTCCACCACCACCACCACCCCCAAAACTCTAAAATTTCACACGTGGCAAAATAAGCAAGTATTATTGTTGCTGCTACCGTCACACATTCCTGGGACAGAATGTTTCCAATGCAGGAGTCCCAAGAATGTAAAGCTTTGAATATATTCCAACATTTCAAAATATATTCAATATATTCCAGCCTTAGGCAGTTTTGAACTACTGGGAATTATTGTTGGAATCAAAGCCCACTCAGAGCCCAAAAGGCACTCTTTCCAGAAGCCCCCGCCCCCAAGAAACTCTTATGCTATTTACCTTTTTTACCAAGCTAAAATATGGTGGTGTTAAACACTGATGTAACCGGTTTTTAAGAGAGACCTGATTATGTGGATCCACATTTGAGGGTGTGTGGGAGGGAGATCCACTTTAGACAACAGATAAGGGATTCCGGGACAAAAACAGGACTACTCTATTCTCACAATACAGATCCCTGGCATTGGAAAGGCCCAAATACTTCACAAAAACCATAGAAACCGCTGCAAAACACTTTTTTTTAAACCAATGAAGGATTGAAAAAGTATATCCGGGGTAAAGGAGCTGCTTAAAGAAAACCTGCACAGTTGCAACAACTGTGGGGACAAACCGAGACACCTTCAGGCTTTCCAGACACTCCGCCACACTCTCTTTTGAGGGAAGCCACTGAGGTGCCAATCCGGGCATCAACCTCCCTGCCTTGCCCTAATGCCCCTAAGGCAGGGGTCGGCAACCTTAAACACTCAAAGAGCCATAAAGGTCCTAAACGGAAGCCCCCCCTCCCCCATTCAATTCTGGAGCCAACCGGAAGTCCGGTTCCCCCCACCATAGAGTCTCCTCCTAGCGTGGCGTCCTTTTTCCTCTGCTGATCAGCAGTCCAATTTCCCCACCATAGAGTCTCCTCCTAGCGTGGCGTCCTTTTTCCTCTGCTGACCAGAAGTCCAGGTCCCCCACCATAGAGTCTCCTCCTAGCGCGGCATCCTTTTTCCTCTCCCTGCCCTAACTGAAAGCCCTATCGATTGTGGAGCTGACTGGCGACAGAGGGAGCTGCAGCAGAGGGATGAAAGAGCCACATGCGGCTCCAGAGCCGTGGGTTGCTGACCCCTGCCCTAAGGAGGCCATCCTTCGCTACCTGCTCCCCACTCGATTTATGTCGCTTTGCTTTTGGGCCAAGCGCAGCCTAGTCTGATTCACTCCCCCTTGCACGTGTACCAGAGAGAGTGACTCACCACAAGTTGAGCATTTTCAGGCAGCTACAACAGACAAGTGAGAGGAGAAAGGAGGAAAGAAAGAAAGAGACAAATAAAAACACAGAAAGGAAAGGAGGAAACATTAGCTCAGAGTAAGATGGAAGCAAGTCACGGCAGTTCATGCAAACGTGCACTGCGGATCCTGAGGGTCCCTCACCAGCTCCGCCGACTTTCTCAGATCTGCCTCTACCTAACCCTCCCTGAGGAAGTGAGACCGTGGTGGGCTCTTTCTCAGACGGACAAAAAGAAGCCTTTGCAATAGCCCGAGACCCGATATGATCACAAGCAGGAGAAATGTCTTCAGTGAGGCCTTGGCAGAAGGGAGCAGGAAGCTTCCTG